AAGGGAGAGAGAGGGGGAGGGAGGGAAGGAAGGAATAAGTAAATGGTTGAAGACATTAATTGAGATATTTTATTTAATACAATGACTGCATCTGGTGAGTATAAAGAAATGGTAGGTTTATGACTTGCTACAGAATACTGCTGAAACTGGAGAAAAAGAAGATCCCAGAAAGGGCAAGCAAAGAAAATTGAAATTGTCTAAGTGAGCATTCACCTAAGAACTAGTTCTGTCAGAAATACTTGTACATTTGATAATAAAGGATCAAAGCCTGCAGCATCATACATTTTTAGGAGTAGAAGTGACCTCGGAAAGGTATCTGATCTAGCTCTCCGATGTAGGAAAAGATTGTCCTACTCTGCCAGCTTAGTATCAAAAGCATGCTGTTGACATCTACAGGCTTTACAGGTGAACTTTGCCCTCAAGTATTAATGGGGCTACTGTCACAGCCGTCTGTGTGACAAGATTTCTCGGTCTTACTACCCCTGACATAACCCTGACCACTGGGACACAGATATCAACACCCATTCTCCACTGTTTCCCCTCTCTTTTCCTTTCTCTTACCCCACAGAAAAACAGTAAATTTCTGTGTTTTTAAGTGTTCATATACTACACAGCATTAATAAACTGTCCTGTGGCCTCCCAAGTCAAAGACTTCCTCAGCTCCCATCCACTCCGTCCTCATTACATCTAGTAGATCAATCTCTCTCTCTGTCTCTCTCTCTGTCTCTCTGTCTCTCTCTCTCTCTCTCTCTCTCTCTCTTCTTTTCTGAGAGGGAGGAGAGAGGGAGGATGGGTCCCTTCCCAGGCCTCTCCTGACTCCGCCTTCTGCACCCACTCACTGCCCGTTTGTTACCCCTTCATGAATGCCCCATGGGTTCCTCAAAGGCAGACACCACGATCTGAACTTGGTATTTTTGCCCCCCAAACTCTCCCATCTCCTATCTTTTCTGTGTCCGCCTGCCATGTGATAGCCTGAGCTACCACATGTGACTTCACTCACATCTGGATTCCCACTCTCCAACCCTACGAGTCTGAAAGTCTCTTGAACTTGACCCCTCTCTTGTATTCCCATCGGTGTGGCCTTTATCCAAGCTTTCATCATCTGTACTGACGGCTATCATCAGGACCATAGCTACAGGATCCCCCCTGCTATTTTGTCGTTAGTTCCTGGGTTTCCCTGCCAGGACAGTACCTTACTTCCTCTAATATGTAACTCCATCACCTTGCAGCTCCCTAAAAAACTCACCCTCATGGACGCAACTCTGATTCCGCCTCTCTGTGGAAATATTACACAGCTAGTTTCTCCACTTGCTATGCTTTTTTACAAGACACATCATGGCCTAATTGCCTATTTACCTGTCCTCTATTTCAACAATGCACTGCCACGGGAGAATTGTTGGTTAGTCGGTCAATCTCCCAGCCCATCACTCAACAATGTCCTGCCTAAAGAAACACCTGTTGGTGGTATGTCGTTAGCTAGGCTCTTATTCTCGTGGACCTCACTCCTTCCCTGGCCGCCGCTTCCCAGCTCTTCCTTAGCCCTTCCCAACTCAAGTCAGCTTTCCTGAGGTCCTTCAGATTCTGCCTTCTTTCCGCCCCTTTTGACTTTCTTACTTGTCTGTCATCAAAGTCCTTTAACTACCACAGCTTTCATCAGTCAACTCTAAGCACTAGAAGGACCTTTAATCTCTGATTTACTTCTGTTCTTTATACTTTATTAAATATTTCATGGTAGCACAGCCTTGAAATCTGACCAACACATTACAACTTTTTGCCTACAGGCAAAACAAATGCTTCATCCAGAAACAAAAAAGTGGCATAGCCTATGACCAGAAAATTAATAGCCTGAGTTGGATCCTCTGGAGATTAAAGATGCACCAAGCCTTTTTTCCTGGGATAAACTGCATGGTTTAATGATGATGTATCTTGTATTGTTTTTAGCACTAGAAGACACATCTGAAAAGGAAAAAACTGCGTTTTAAAATCTTTGCTTTTCTTTTTTTTTTTTCCTTCATAGTACTGAGGATTGAAACCAGGCTTAGTTATCACACCCTAGGCAAGAATTCAACTACTAAGATGCATCCCCAGCCCACAGACTTTTTATTAAACCTTACAGATGCACAAAAATACACCGAATTTAATTGCACTTTGATATTTTTCTAAAGCTCACTCTTTTACATAATATTTTTGGGGAGGTTCCGAGACAGGGTTTCCCTGTGTAGCTTTGGAGCCTGTCCTGGAACTACCTCTTGTAGACCAGGCTGGCCTCACAGAGATCCGCCTGCCTCTGCCTCCCGAGTGCTGGGATTAAAGGCGTGCGCCAACAACACCCTGCTTACATAGTATTTTTAATCTTTGAGAATTGAGTACATGTATACAATGTATTTGACCATAGCACCCAGTCCTCCCCCTAACTCTTCCCAGTTTGACTCCTCATTCTCACACCCTCACAACTAAATGTCCTAAAAGCTAACTCTTAAATTCATCTATTTATTCACCCATTCAACATATTGTAGTGTGATGTAGCGTAGTATTGTATAGTATAGTATAGTATAGTATAGTATAGTATAGTATAGTATAGAATAGTGTGATTACTGTAGTATCGTATAGTGCAATATTATATAATGTAGCATATTATAGTATAGTTGTATAGTGTGGTGTAGTATAGTGTTGTACAGTGTAGTGTGTATGTTGTAACCTAGGTAATAGGGAGGAAAGTAATTCATCATCCCAGGAGAGACTTCTACTTCTAAAAACCATATTATAATAATAAAAGCTATTTCAAAATAATTACATGCAGAAAAGTGTAACTGCTTTTAGATATTTATAAGATAGCCCAGAATAACTCTCTAGTAAGTTACAATTGAACAGCACGGCTACAATTAGGGGAATGGATCAATTTTATATTAGTTTGGAATCTAACCCACTTTTAACTGCAGCACTAAGAACTCTATAAGTGATGGTTTCCATGCTAAGACCTTGAATCTGTTAGACATGTAAATAATCCAAGTTCAGTTTTCAGATGTGGTAGATTTGTTTTTGTTTTTCTTTGGCTGTGTTTTGTTGTTGTTGTTGTTGTTTAGTTTTTACAAAGGTCATAATCATATTAAGACTTTTCTGTGAGCTGGGTGTAGGATCTGGAGGGCAGGCAGAAGGACCACGTGTTGGGGGCCAAGCTGG